GAATGCTCCATGTGCATTGGAAAAGAAAGTATACTTGGGTGTTGTTGGGTGGAGCATTCTGTATATGTCTGTGAGATCAAGCTGGTTGTGGCATTCAGATCTTCCGTGTCTTTATTGAGCTTCTTTCGGGATTTTCTGTCCTTCACTGAAAGTGGTGTGTTGAAATCTCCTACTATTATTGTGGAGCTGTCTATCTCTCTTTTCAATGTTGTTACAGTTTATGTATTTTGGAGCTCTGTCATTCAGTGCATAAATATTTATTATGATTATGCCCTCCTGGTGTATTGACCCTTTAATCATTATATAGTGTCCTTCATCTTTTGTGGTGGATTTTACTTCAAAGTATATTTTGTCAGAGATTAATATTGCCACTTCTCCTCTTTTTTGATAGTTGTTTGCTTGATATATTTTTTTCCATCCTTTGAGTTTTAGTTTTTTTGTGTCTTTAAGTCTAAGGTGTTTCTCTTGTAGGCACCATATATACAGATTGTGTTTTTTTGATCCATTCTGCCACTCTCTGTCTCTTTATTGATGCATTTAGTCCATTTAAATTCAGTGTAATTATTGATACATATGAGTTTAGTGCTGTCATTTTGATGTCTTGTTTTGTGTGTTTTCGCCAGTTTCTTTGTTCCACTTAATTTTCTGTGCTCAATCATTCTTTATGTGTTTTCTTTTCATGGTTTTCATTGTTGCTGATTTTGTATTTGCTGGGTCTTTATGTTCTTCTTGTTTTTTATTTTGATGTGTAAGATTGTTAGTTTCCTTTGTGGTTACCTTAATATTTATCCCTATTTTTCTAAGTTTAAACCAATCTTTTATTTATTTATATCTCCTTGACTTCCTCTCCATATGAAAGATCTATGACTACATTATTTAGTCCCTCTTTTTTGTTTTAATGTTTTCATCTTTTATATATTGACCTCTCTGTTTCCCTATTTTCAGTGTTTTAGCTTTGATTTACTTTTGTGTCTTCCCAATCTGGGTTGATACCTGGTTGTTCTGTCCTGTGTTCTAGTCTTGGGTTGTTACCTGATGTTATTGATTTTTTAACCCGAGGACTGCCTTTAGTGTTTCCATAATATTGGTTTGGTTTTTACAAATTCCCTAGACTTCTGTGTATCTGGAAATGTCCTAATTTCGCCATCATATTTGAGAGACAGTTTTGCTGGATATATAATTCTTAGCTGGCAATATTTTTCCTTCAAGGCTTTACATATGTCATCCCATTGCCTTCTTGCCTACATGGTTTCTGCTGAGTAGTCTGAGCCTAGTCTTACTGATTATCCTTTGTAGATGACTTTTTGTTTATCTCTAGCTGCTTTTAAAATTCTTTATCTTTGGTTTTGGCATGTTTGATTATAATATGTCTTGGTGACTTTCTTTTGGGATCTACTTTGTGTGGGGTTCGATAAGCATCTTGGATAGATATCTTCTCATCATGATATCAGAGAAGTTTTCTGCCAACAAATCTTCAACAATTCTCTCTGTATTTTCTGTTATCCCCTCCTGTTCTGGTACTGCAGTCACTTGTAGGTTATTCTTCTTGATAGAGTCCCACATAATTCTTGAGTTTCTTCATTTTTTAAAATTCTTTTATCTGATTTTTCCTCAAATAAGTTGGTATCAAGTGTTTTATCTTCAGTCTCACTAATTCTGACTTCCATTGCCTCAATTCTGCTCCTGTGACTTTCTATTGCATTGTCTAATTCTGAAATTTTATTGTTAAGCTGTTGGATTTCAGTTTGCTGTCTCTCTATGGATTCTTGCAGCCTGTTAAATGTGTCATTATGCTCTTGTATAACCTTCTTAAGTTCCTCTATTGCTCTGTCATGTGTTCTTGGCTTGTTCCGTGTCTTGCTTGATCTCCTTCCTGATCTTTTGAACAGCTCTGTATAATAATCTTTTGAATTCTACCTCTGGTAATTCCAAGCAGTTCTCTTCCTCTGGAAGGTTTCTTGATTCTTTCTTTTGGGGGCTTGCTGAAGCCATCTGCCTCTTTATGGGATTTGATACTGACTATTGTCTCTAAACCATCAATAAGTTATTATGTTTATTTATTTTATGTTTTTTACTGTGTCCTAGCTTCTTGTTTTGTTTTGATATGCCCAACTAGGCTGCTTGTGTGAGCTAGTTTGATTATTGGCACCTTTGAAGCTCTCATATCCTGTCACCAGGTGGTTAGAGCTATTACTAGGTATGTGAGCCCAGAAGTCCATTTAATTTTCTTGTATCATTCAGCTCAGGTGTCCAGATAGTCGGTCACTGGGTGGTGCAGGCTCTCGCCTACGGTCCTAGACAGGCAGGGTGAATGGAGTAGGTACAAGTATCTGGCTGCAGTAGGGGGTCACACAGTAGCAAGGCAGGGTGCTGATGGCTGCCCCTGAATGTCTGGGAGGAAAGCGTGTCCCTGTTCCCTAGAGTGTGTAGGTAGGTGGGTTTTGCAGCTGGGCTATGGGCACCCAATGCTGTTGTCTGTAAGGACTGGGAGGCACCACTTATTCTTGGACCCCGTCACAGGTAGCTAGGTGGCACGGGTGGAGCCACTAGTTGTCAGGCCCCTGATATGAGGACCCTGCTTAATGGGCAAAGCAGTATCAAATGTCACAAACCTGCCACTCCATCATATAGCTGATACAGTGAAGTTAGGCTTCAGGTATATACCCTGTTGTACTGTTTTAATGAGGGCCTATACTGTTGAAATAGGCCCACACATGTCTATGCAAGAGTGAAAGGCATTCAAAGTCCATAGCCCCCTTATGCCTGTGCCTAGGCAAAGGAGCTGTGCCTGCCCTGAATTCCCAGCTTAGAGGAGCTGGCAGGTTATTTTTTCCTGTTTGTTAATTCGTTCTCTCTCCAAAGGTGGAACAATGGCTTAGGGTACGTGAAAGGTCCGACTTCCAGCCCAGGAGATGCAACAATCCCTGAAGCCTGCCTGGGACCTGGTGCAGAGTGGGGAGGGGGGAGGTAAATGAGGAGAAGATCTTCCAAGGGGGTGCTTTTTGATCTGCACAGTAGGTTAGATGCATGTACTTATCTTTTGCTGAATGAGCGCTGCTTTTCACTGGTTCTGGAGGCTTAAGTAGACTCTCTGCTGCTCTGTCTCTCCTGATATGAAAAGCGCATCCCAAGTGCCACCGCTTGCCTCACCACGCATGCCAGCCAATCCAGCCTGCAGGGTGCAGGTTCCCACCAGGTCAGGTCTGGCAACTCCTTGCTGCTTCTGAACCATCTCTCTCTCCCCCTGCCACTCAGTCTGATTCCTTAACTTTGCCATTGATGTTCAGGGCTCCTAAACTGTCATATATAATCGATTAACTTGTTTTTTCGGGTCTTTGTTGTAAGAGGGATGAGAGGAAATGTCTGACTACTCCGCCATCTTGGCCCCGCCTCCAGCACTTTCTTATAAAGTTAAACATACACCTATCCTATGACTTGGCAATTCCATTCCTAGGTATCTACCCAAGAGAATGCAAATATATTTCCTCAAGAAGACTTGTACAAGAATATTCATAGCAACTTCATTCATAACAGCTCAAAACCTAAAACAACCCAAATGCCCATCAGTAGGAGAATGAATAAATACATTTTGGCTACATGTGGAAATACATTCTAAGACTTATGACACTGGACATTTAACATCTGTTTTACACTCATATTTAAACCTCAACTGGATTTAGGCTGCTCAGTAAGTTAGTTTTTAAACAGTGTATCTCTTGATACTTGCAAATGTCATCAATCAATATGTTGGCCACATGCAGTCCACCCTCAAGGTCCATGACATACAGCAACTTGAAAATTTGCTAAGTCATACAGTAAGGCCCAATCCTAGATTTGAGTCAGGTGAGCATCTTTGGGTAAGTCTTCAAGTTAATAATAGACTAAAATTAACAGTCCAGCATTCACACTTCAAAGAGGCTTTGTATTTCTCTGCTTACCCTAAGATAGTAACTCTCAGATTAAAGGATAAAAGTTAATTACTAATACTGGTTACAAGAAGTGAAAAAAAGGTAAAGTACTTTTGCTAATTCTTATCTCCAAAATACAAAAAAGTAATTTGAGTGTTAGACTATTTCAGTGAGTACTTCCGCTACTACAAAAATTGCTGAAGTTCAAAATAAAATTTTAATAATCAATTTATTTGTGATGTGAGTGATATGCATAGGGAATACATGACCATTGATGGAAAAGGGATTCAACAGAAAGGCAGTAAACAGTACAAACATGTTAATGAAACTACAGGCAGTAAAGGCACAAGTTCAGCTAATGTACTGACTTCAATTTTAAGAAGCATTTACTTTTGCAAAAACGTAAAGTTAGCAAGAGAGGCTGTGATAGCCAACTGCACTGCCAAAGAAGTGCTCCTTCTACATAGCGGGAGCTCCGAAGAGGCAGACAGATAAACTTATTCAGTTGTCAACAATATTGGCCACCAAGGTCAAAAGAACTTGACTTCATCCTGGAGCACAATGTGGCAGATTTAGGTAAGTTCACAATTAATGTTAGAATGGAAATGGTGTAGTATAGTATGCAGTTTATTTTAGGGGCATAATTTATTTTATTATGATTAGAACTAAAAAAGATCTAGAGAAGCCACTTAAAATTTCAATTTATACTTAACTGAATTTTATGGGAGAAAATGTATGCGATGTTTGTGTCCATAAATTTGGGAGATTTGCCAAAATATTAGGACCTTTATGTCTGTACTCGTTAGTAATGACAAGGCTATAATATATTTAGATAACCATATACTCATTTAATTATTTCTAAGATAATCTATTTGCAACTTTAATATTGATCTGCTACATCTTGACAAAAAAAGAATAAAACTGAAGTTAATTCACTTAACAGTGTACTACATCAAACAAACATGACAATGAAATGAATTCATCTAGCAGAGCAAAAGTTGACAACGAATAATGAACAGAACGCTGAAATGAGAGTAAATCACATCCTTGGATAATCTCTTGATACAAGACTCACCCTTGAAGAAAACCTACCATCCCAGGACCACAGTTCGTTCCATCTGCCAGTGGCATGTGTTGAGTCCGACAGCCCTTGTGAACTCCTTCTGCGCTTGTGCACCAGAGACGTCTGCACTGTTTCTGCAAAATAACATAAAGTGAGCAAGCAAGAGTAAAAATAAAATCACAACCACGCTAATCAATTCAGTATAATGCATCAGTTTATAAATTGATATTAAATATTTCCTGATTTCCTGGTCATTTTGGGAAATAATCAGCAAAAACCCTTGCTAAATAATTAAACTCTTGTCATCAGTTTTAATCTAACTACATAAAATGGCAACATTTAGGTTTTTTTAGTTTTTAGATTTTTATTCATACACTGAACAATGGGTGAGATGAACTGGAGTGGAAGTATTTAAAATTATTTAAGACATTTTTCTCTCTTAACAGGATCTTTTTTCTAAAGGACTTCTCGTTTTTAAATGTTATTCACAGGGGGTTTCCAAAAGCCTTTTTTGATCCAAGAGTGGAATGTATGAATAATGTGCATAGAAATACTGTATAATATATACTGAAGTTTCTTATTTTATGAATATAATGCATACTTTCAGCTTTTAAACAAAGGGGCCTGAAGTTTTCACAAGGAAACAAAAATCCACATAGAGGCTCATAGGAGTTCTAACCAAGACAGTTCCTTTCTTTTTCTGAATTTAAATTCAAAATTTATTTAGTTTTCAAATCAGGTAGAAGATAAATGTATCTTTTATAATGAAAAATTAAATATTTTCTCCCATAGTGGATGTTTAAAGGCTTGGTAAGATTTGTGATTATAAATTTAAGGTTTTGGGAACAATATTCACTATGTAGAATATAAACTCCATGTCTCTGTACTTACTGATAAGTAACTTTCATTCATTCAACAAATATTTATTTTGGGACATCTACTAAATGGAAGATACTTGTGTAGGCACTGTGTATATATCTTTATTAAAATGAATGAACAAGGCTGCATTTTGGCCCCAATTATCACAATCTAATAATATGTTAAGTGAGGTATGTACAGATATATGTACAGAGTGTTAAAAGAATGAAAAAATAGAGTGACTACTCTGTTAGAATGTAAAGTAAGATTTCACCAAACCAGTGACATTTATTCTGAAACAAATCTTAAATTTACCCTAAAATGTTTATAGACCCAGTAAAAATGTTAGATCATTTACTTCCATGGAAATTGAAAGCATCTAATCTATGAAAAAAAACCTCAAAATAAATTGTAAAGTAATAGCTTAATGAAAACTAATCAGTATACACCAAATTTCATTCCCTTGGATTCAAATTTATGAGAAAGAAAATGTTGTCTATTCAATTCCCTGATCCTTTATAACAACTTAACATCAAGACACCAGCATTTCTTGCCCCTACCCCCAAAGTAATATCATTTTAAATATGTGTCATTAAACAAGTTTAGTTAATTTTCAAGTTACATACCTCTCCTAGCCCCTGTTTACTAAGTAAGAATACATTATAGGATTTTGTGAGAGCTCACAAAGATAATTTCTTAAGTGTCTAACACAGTGCCTGACATATAATAAGTAGTCAAAGCATTTTACCTTCCCTTTTTAACCCCTTTCTGCCAAACACCAATTTTTTCTAAGAATAAAAAAATTAAGATATATTTAGTTCACCTTCCTTAAAAGAAAATAAATACATATTTTGAAATATATGATAGCTGCAACCTTACAGTAGTTTTCAAACAAAAGGATAAAATTTTTCATACCAAATAGGGACAGACTTGTGAGCCAGGACCAAACATAAGTTCACACTGCTTGTTTACATCATACATCAATCCAGGAAGTTGTGAAGACAGATCATATATTCTTCCATTTGGTTTGTCAAGGAGGCATTCCCCATGACCAGTACTGAACAAATGCAGAAAATAAAACATTGTGAATATACATGGAAGCATTTCAATACAAGATTTTTATCACATTTTCTATAGTCCTGCACTTTCAAAGAGAATATCAAATTTTTTTGCATAATTTAAAAACTAACACATATCAAAATCAGTATACTAATGTTCTTTTACACAATGACATCCTCAAAGTTTACAAAAGACTTTTTATGGACTTGATTTCACTTGATCCCCACAACACCTTAAAGGTTATGCTTTTTTTTAAAAAAATAAATAACAAGTAAACAAATTTATCAGAATATAATTTATGAAACATATATTATCACATGACACTATTGCTCTACTTTGCTATCCAATAATAACACCCTATTTGTAAAGTACAAATTGTCAAAATATGAAAATTAAGTTTTCAAATCATTTGAGAAAGTATGTTTTTCATTCTAAACAAAAAAGTAATTTTAAGTTTTATGCTGTTTTCACCTCAAAGTACAGCATTGAGTTAAGAGCTCTGACTTTGGGAGCTTGTCTGTGGTTGCACTACTGCCTAGACTGTGTGACAATGGACAAGTTATTTAATCTTTCTGAGCCTAAGTCTCCTCATCTGTAAAAAGAATGGTAATACCTACCTTATAATTTGCTACTAAAATACATGATAAATAACATAACCAGTTTATGTATATATCTTTTTCCTACTTTATCATGTAATATCCAATCTGTAGAAAACATTATGAAAATGTTCAACCATTCCAACTAGGTTAAAAGCAATTTGTTCCACTAAAATGATTAAAAGATATTATGTGGAAACTTTTACTGGCAAAAAATACCTATCAACTTTTGTCAATAAAATGAACATGTAACTTTTAAAATTTTCATTGAAGGTAATTATAACAATCCCCCCTTCCAAAAACAAAACAAAACAAAAGCATACCTACTGGTGTTTTTCAATTCCTCACTTAACCATTGAACAAAGCTGTAATGAAATTATGTACAGTAACTCTGTGTTGTGTGTTTAAATCAAGCTCCCATAGATAGATAAATAACCACTGATGATTATAACTATGGTATACATTTATGAACATATATTCCAAAGCATTGTTTTATTTGTTTTTATAGTGCTCATAAAGAGAAGTAACTAGAAATTTCTATTATTGTTAAAATGGTGATTAGAATATGTAGTCAAAGAAATGACACGGTACTGCCATCTATACAAAAAGATTACCTGAGAAGGGCTTGGGCTTGCCTCTTTGACAAGTTTTAGTGACTAAGATAGAAACACCATTTGGATAAAAAGAGTTGGGGAGTTGAGAAATCTGGCAGGAGGTGGAGTGATAAGGTAAGAAAAAACTTGGATCAGACTCTCTGAGTTGTGAAGAGTCTCCAAAAGCATATGCAAACCTAGAGACTCCCCATCCCTATGACTTTCTCTGTCCTTCAGATACCTCAAACTTGAGACACTCAAATAAATGTCAAAATATTACCTAGTAGCCTCTGAAAATTTCAAAAACACACATGGAAGCTATGATTCCCATTAAGCCTCCCCGAAAAAGGAGTTTTCATTACAATAAGATGTTCAAGTAAAAAATAATAGGCCTGAACAGCCAAAAGAAGACTTTATTTTGTAGGAGTTAAATAATATGTATATACAATTCTTTTCTTTTTTTAAGCATCCATTTGCACAGTGAAAGTAAGTTAAATTTAAACAGATAAAAACTAAACATAAACTGAAACACTTTAAAAGAGCACACAAATTTCAGATTTCATGATTTAAAATTTTTTCAATTATTCAACTAAAGTAACATATATTCAGACTTACTCTAGGAATTCAGTGATATATTTCTGACTACATTTTGACCAGGTCCAAGGACTCGTGTGGTAATTTAAACTTGGGGCCATTACATGATACTGATGTTTAATTCCAGTCTCCTTACATTTAAAACTATCATCGTGTGGAACATTAAATCTAAAAATAAAAATAAACACTTAAAAAAGAATATTAAAATATTATTTCACAGTATACAAAATCAGTAACAGATATTTTACATTTACATTACATTGTAATGAAACTATAGATAAATTCAGTCACATTGGAATTTGTACTCTTGCTCTCTCCATAAAGCATTATGAAAATAGGATTACCATCATGTTTAGGGGTGCATGACTTTTAAGAAACATTGGATTATAACTTTTAATCACTAGTACAGTTGGTTGATGTGACTTCTGAGTCTAAACAATGAAACCATTTGGATTCTGGCTCACTTCATCACAATATGGACATAACTTTTATGTAAAAATACTGTTAAGTTTCAACAGGCATATTCTTGTGTGTGGATACAGATAAAGTAAAAGAGACATCACAGTAAATTCTAGACCGTTTATTATTGCTACAGTATCAAAAGGGCCTCCTAAATTCCTAAGTCAATATCATTCTGGACTGTCCATCTATATTAAATGAAACAGACTAAGTACTGTCCCTGGTCTATAATCAATAAGTGATGATTGATAGAACTGAAGCAATAGAAATATTCCCAAATGGCTGCCAAATCTTCACAAGAAAAGAAAGGATATTGAATAATTAGCTGGTCAACAACAGACCCCATGCATTCTTTTGAGGATCCACATATAAATTCAAGTTTAGAAGGTACCTTGCAACCACCTAATTCAGATCATTGCCTACTGAAATTTGTATTTCAGTCAGTCTTTAATTAAATTACTTACCCATATCCTAGAGACATCTAAAGAGCTTCTCAGGAACTAAATAAAAATGTAAATAAATGTCTAAGACAGCACTCCATGCAAGAGCAGTTTTCTACTAGTTAACAGCCTTTGCTGTCGCTGTTGTTAGATGCTGTCAAGTTGGTTCTGACTCACAGCAACCCTACAGGACAGAGTAGAACTGCCCCATAGGGTTTCCAAGGAGCAGAGGGTAGATTTGAACAGCTCAGCTTTTGGTTAGCACCTGAGCTCTTAACAACTGTGCCACCAGGGCTTCCGTTAACAGCCTTAGAAACTAGCAATAGTGCCCCCTAGATACTGCTGCAATGCTTCAATAGCCCTTAGGTATTCTCCTGATCCGATTCCCCCACTTCAGTAAACAATGTATAAAATAGAGTATGCAGCTTGCTGATGATCATGAGATACAACCATGCCAAAAAAGGCTTGATGAGGCACTAATTTACTAAAAATGACCTCCACCTCAAATTATTCTACGTATATGTTCTAATCGTGCCTCAAGGCATGACCAGGAAAGGAAAATGTAGTAAAACTAAGAGAGGTAACTCTAGCCTCAATTCCTTATTAGCAGATAACAAAGGAACCTCAAGAGTCCTGGGGGTACACTTGGAATCATTTTTCAGAGAATGACTTTGTAGCGAGTTTCTGTCTTTCCATAGGAGCTCCAAGGGTATCATGGGAAATCATGGCCTCCGTTCTTAGAGCAGAGAACCCCAGCAGAATTTTTAGTAATGTAGGAACAGATAAAAGAATCCCAAATTTTTAATAAAAAGCTATGGAGTGGGAGGGGCGAAGCTTAAAAAAAAATATTTTAATGAACATGGGATCCCCACAGACCACATCCTCTGCTGAGGCTCTAAGCTGTAAGAGCAATGTGTTGGAATTACAAATATTAGTTGGGAGTTCCTAGAGCCAATAGCCCCTGTAGGCCCTCCCATAAGATGGCAGAGGACAGTACCTGGTCATGTATAGGATAACAAGTGATAGAGGCCAGAAGTGCTTGTCATGTAATCCAGTACAGTAAATGAAATAAAAGAATTCCCAAGTTCTAGTTCTTTGCTTAGACTGTTGTTCTGTGCAGCCTGTCTGACCTAACATAGATCACAAAACAGCCAGAGTTAGCATTTCAGGGATGAAAATTATACTAATACTTGTTTTTATAAATAAACGAAGATGCTAATTACTCAACTGAAGATGGAATTTTAGGCATTCTGTGCAATGACATATAGCAGGTGGAATACTGAGGTGACAGGGATACTTACACGTGCCCAAGCTCATGAGCTATAGTAAAGGCAGCACTGAGTCCATTTTCCTCACTAATAGAGCAGCTCCGTAAAGGATCACACAGGGTACCTAATTCTGCTAAACCTGAAAAATTTCATGTTTGTATTTGATCAAAATGGGAAATAATACCGAATTCCTAAAGCAAGAACTAAGTTCTTAAGCATTTATCATTGTCATCACTATTTAGTAATGAAGACAGAGTTGATCCTGAATATTGAAAGCACATTTAATAAGAAGAGAGAAAAAGAAACTGAATGGTTTGTCTGCAGTTCAACCTTTTTAGCAAATTCTTGCACTCTTACTCAAGAAAATAAGCCAAAATTATTCAATGCGCCAACAAGTTAAGAAAAGGCAGAAAAAGCAAAAGAATATTTATTACAAGAAGGATGACATGTTTAGGCCACATTAACATGAACAGTAGGAAAGGCCACAGATGTTTAAATTGGTAAGAGAAAAACTAATAAGAGAAGAAAATAAGAGGGCTACAAATCTATGATTTAAAAAAAAAAGTTTTAAGACTCTGACCAAACCAAAACCAAACCCATAGCCATTCAGCTGATTCTGACTCACAGCAACCCTACAGGACAGAGTAGAACTGCCCCATAGGATTCCCAAGGAGCGACTAGTGGGTTCAAACTGCCAACCTTTTGGTTAGCAGCCGAGCTCTTAACCACTGCACCACCAGGGCTCATGAGGCTTTGAAGCAGTATACAAATACTCAATTACGATAATTAAATTAGTAAATATAGGTTAAGTGCACAGTGCCCGATATTTAACAAACTGTATATGTTAAATAAAATACAATACGATCATAACATAAAAATTATTGTGAGTGCTCAAAAATTTGCCGCTATTTCAGTAATGGGGAATGTATCATATATAAGCATCTATTAACTCTAACAGAAATAATAACATGCAGTACAAATGTTCTGTCTAAAGATGGAGGTAGTATAAACTGTCTAGACATCAAAGACAGCAATAATTACAGTTTATAGAGTCTCGTAAAAATAATACAGAATAAGAAATTCAAAATAAATACTCATTAAAACAATCTATATTCCATTATCAAGCAAGTTAGAATTTCCTTCATTTGTTTTTTTAACATAATGCCACAGTTTTTGCTATTGTTATCCTTCAATAGTTAGTTGTAAATTTATCTGATCCCCAGTAAAGACTCTTTCCATAAAAGGGAAGTTTTTTGTATATAGAATAATCATTCCTTTACTCTAACGTTTTTGCATTTAGAAATCCCTTGATATAGAATAAACACACCTGTATTAGCTACTGTGCTCAGCCCTCTCCCTCAGTATAATCTTTTATTATTAAAAGTTTAAAACATGGATATTTTTCTAGAAATTAAGGTAGATTTCTTAACTATTAGAATGTTTCTGTTGTGCCTTAAGCAAAATGGAAGTTAAACTGAGAAATCTTAAAAAGGCTGGAAAACATTCAAAGACCAGCAAGTTCATTTGGCAGTATTTTTTTAACAAAACAAAACAAAAAAGATTTGCCTTCTTTTTGACCCCAATGCCAAAAGGCTTTGCTTAGGCAAAGTGCTTCCCCACCAAAAAGAGCTTTTTCTTAGTTAGAATCAAGACAAAAAGGAAGGAAAAAAGAAAAAAAGAAAGAAATTCTTTGACAGCCCTCTGTAGAAGGCCTCAGGGAATTTCTGTTTTCCTCAAGATTCTAAAATGAATGCTTGTATATGCAATTTTAGACAATTCCCATATTATTTTATATTTTCCCTCTGTCAGAATAAGTTGAAGCCGGACACATTTTCTTCATGGATATCCTGCTGCTCTCACGCCTTCATTTATATTTTCAATCTGCCAAGTGGCTCAATTCCAATACATTCATTTTTAGGGCTGTTTAGGTATTTGGGACACAATATTGACTTGATTTCCATCCAACTTAGTTTCATACTTAAAGGTGTATGCATTCTAAGCTGAAATATTTAGTACAGACTCACATTTGTAAAAATATGCATTGCAGATGATTACAGACCAAGCTGAAATATTCCCATAAACAGGCAGCACCAAAAAAACTCAAGTGAATGCTAGCATTTGGGTAATAAGCACTAGTCAGTGGTTTGAGCCTAGCTTCACCTAAGCTAATTCTGAGTTCTCTAAAAGTCAGAGGTAGAATAAAGCAGCATGGGCCCAAATTTTACATCATTTCCTGTGTTTGGAAGTGTAATGAGCTGCAAAGAGTTACCCAATATAGCCATCTTGAAGAATGAAAGCCATTTTTCAACATACTTTGTATTTTTTGGCTCATGGACTGAGACACAATACCTGCAAAAGGAGACATAGCAGGAAACCTAGAAATTGTCAACATTTTGTGTGTGTCATTAAAAACTGACCTTCATTTGTTATTTTTCCATATATTTGAAGTGAGAAAATAAAATACTAAAACTTGTGTTAATACAAGCTGTATAGCTTTGGGCAAACTATTTATCCTCATCTATAAAATTGCAATAATAGTTGTACTTAACTCATAAATTGTTTCGAAGATTAAATGAGTTAAATCATGTAAAACTTTAATACTGTGTATGATACAAAGTACCATATATAGCATCTATCATTAGAAATGTTAGCATCATTATTGTCATCATTACCCCTTCATTTAACAAATGCTAATAATGCTTTCATTTTCATAGTCTCTGTTTCTAAATGTCACTATGATTTATGTGCACAGGTGTGACTGAAAACTACAAAATATTCATGGGGGCTAGGAAACCATCTACTTTTATGTAAACGTCCAGAATATGTAAGATTGAATGAGTTAAAAAACAGTAAGACATGGCCAGCCTAATTCAGCCAAAGTTTGTATTTCTTGACTTTTAGTAATGCAAAGATGTTCAACAGAATATAAATTACTAACTCATAAAACATACCTAAAAAGTCAGAAAATAATTTGCATAAAGGGAAGAAGGGGATCTGCTGTAAAAACTACATCAGCAGACGTCTGCTTCCATAAGCATGGAAAATTAGAGTTTCTAAAGGGTCCTCCTAACACAAAGAAACTAAGTCTTTAATAAAAACTACTTTTTAATGGATACTGAACTCACATGATTTATAAGGACTATCAAGTCTGTCAAGGCTGCACCTTGAAAACTATCTCTCTTAGATGCACACACTCATATTCTGAGCTCAAATCTAATCGGAAAGCAATGAATAGTAAGGAGAGAAGTGTTTGCCCTACTCTGAGGGCAAATATTTATAACAGCACTATGGTCCAGAAACTAACAGCTTGCTAGAAGAACCTTCAAAGTAGAAGATCTGATCCTGAGTTTTCTGCATTAAGCCAGGGGCTCTGGTTAGCAACAATCTTTGTCTTCTAGTGGAAACAAATGAAAATCTTCTCTGGAGGAAAGCACATGCCATTTGAACTGTCACCCCCACTCCACAAATCCATGGAGTAATATTAAGTAAATATGAGTTTGCAATCAAAGATCACCAAACATAGAAAGAAACAGGCCAACATAAGAGGGAGTTAGCAGAAACACCCTATTTAGCTACCAAGTATTTCAGAAGAGGAAACTGCCAGAGACAGAATATAAAATTATTATACATAAAATGTTTAAGGAATCATGGAATGCAGTTATAAATATGAGAAATTATAAAAAGAGTAAAAACAAAATAAACTGGTAGATTCTGAATAAGAACCAAACAGAACTTTTTAAGTTGACGGAAAAAATATATTTATATATCAAAACAAAATTCAGAAGTGAATGAAATACAAGATTAGAAACAGCCAAAGTGAGAAATAGCAAAATGGAAAACTGAGCTGCTTAAATGAAGCATGGAGAAAAAGAAATAAAAGCATGGCTATCAGAATGAGAAGATCTTAATACAAATGTAATTAGGATCTCACAGGAGGGAACAGATATAAATGCAAAGTTTGGTGAGATAACCGGTGGTAATTTTCTAGGTTTTTGGAAGGTAAGAAGATAAGAGCAGAAACTAATGAAATAAAAACAGAGGAGATAGAAAACGCCCAGAGAAGATACAAAAAGTCAGTAGTTGGTTCTTTGAAAACACAAATACAATAGACAATATTCAGGTGCAATAGATCTATTTAAAAAAAGAGAGAAGGCATAAATAAACAAATAAAATGGGGTACTGCAATAGAGCAGTGCTTAAAAAGATGATATGAAAATAACTTAATAAATTGGACTACTAAAAGAAATGATCAATATTTAGAAAAATCTAGCCTTTTAAATAAATTGAATAAGACATAAAAACCAAAATTGTCCTATTACCATTGGAGAAATTCAATAAATAGTTAGAAACTCTTTCCACAAAGAAACATGAGACTCAAATGGTTTTCTAGGTGGGATCTACCAAACATTCAAGATATAGATTATTCCAGTATTACACAAAATCTTCCAGAGAATGGGAAAAGAGACAATATACCCTAATGTAGTCTATAAAGTCAATAACAGTTGATACCAAATTTAGACATAGATAGTAAGAGGAAGGAAAATTACAGGTTTATGAAAATGCATGCATAAAATTTTTAACAACAATGTGTTAAAAAAATGAGAAAAGAAAAACCTTGATCCAGGTTGATTTAGCATTAGACAATTTATAAAATTAATTTACCAGAATAAGATGAAATAATCATATGTTTATCTCCATATATGCAGAAAAGCACCTGAGTAAATATCATATACATCATTAAAAACAGACACATAGAAAACTAGGATAATAAGTTTATCTCTCAAGAGCTTACAGCAAATATTATTTTTAATGTGAAACTTTACAAGTGTTCCCCTTAAAATTCAGAAAAAAAGGCAACAATGACTACTATCATCACTTCTACTCAACATTCTATAAGAGGCTCTTATCTCACAGTAAGAGAATAAAAATAAATGAGAATTATAATGATTAAAGTAGAAGAAACATAACTGCCATAATTCACAAATGATATAATTATCTACATAAAAATCTAAAAGAATATACAGGTAAATTATGCGAATTAATTAGAGCAATGGCTCAGGTGGCTAGATTGAAAATCAATAATCCAAACAAAATCTACTGCATTTCTACCCACCAGCATCAATGTTTTTGTTGTGCCTTAAGTGAAAATAAATTCTAATAAAAGTTGTGCATGACTCATTTGAAAGGAAATAATATATAATTGAAAGACATTTTAAAAGACCTACATAAATGGAGAGATAAATGTTTTACAAAGACTTCACATGCTGGTTCTAAACTTTTTATGGAGGAGCAAAAGGCCCAAGAATAATTAAAATATTTTTGAAGAAAATAAAGTGAAAGCATATACCCCACCAATTATTAAGATTATTAGAATATTAAAACTAAACAAGTGTGGAATTGGTGCAAGAATTAAAAAAGGAGGGTGATTGACCAATGGAACAGAAGGACTATACTCAGACTCACATGTATATAGAAATTTTACATGTGACATGGAAGATTCTAAGGACATGAGGGGAGCTGTTTAGTGCATAGGTCTAGGGCAATTGGTTATCCTAACAAAAAAGAAACAAACCAAAACACCCCAAACCATTTCCATCGAATTAATTCCAACTCATAGCAACCCTGGAAGAACAGAGTAGAACTGACCCATAGTGGGTTTTCAAGGCTGTAAATCCAAGGCAGATTATCATGGCGGCTGTGGCTCAAATCACCGACCTTTCCATTAGCAGCCAAGTGCTTTCACCATTGCACCACTAGGGCTCCAAAAGAAACAAAACTGGATCCCTATATGATACCATATCAAAATTTTATTCCAAATAGATTACAAATTTAAATGTGAAAGAACAAATTTTAAAACGTTCTCAAGGAAACAGGGTAATATGTTTGCACCTTGAGCTACAGAAGGATTTCTTAAATAAAAGTGTTAACCCTAAAAGAAGAGATTAATAAATTTTGTCACATTATACATTTTCACCAAAAAAAAAACTAGTAAAAGATATTTTCAACACATATATACCAAAGAGGGTTTTGGTGTCAAGAAGTTATAAAGAACAGCTAAAAGCAAAAAGAATACAAACATTAGTAAAACGGGCAATGTTTTCTTTCATTCCTCACAGAAAAGTAAACACAAATGGAGAATAAATGCATGAAAACATATTCAAACTTACTGGTAATCAGGAAAGTAAAAATTATGACTGTAGTGAAATATATTAAACCTATTAGATTGGCCAAAATGAGAAATTTGAAGATACCTTGTGTTAATAAGAACATAATCAGAAGGGATGCTTATACACTATCAATAGACGTGTAAATTGGTACAACTATTTTAGAAAATAATTTGGTATATCTTGTAAAGTCGAACATTAGCACATTAATGACATAACAATTGTATTCCTAGGAATATACCCTAGCTCCCATAACAAAGTTCATAGGAAAAAAATAACAAAACCAAAATTAGTCCAAATATCCACTTGTCATTGTTGTTAGGTGCCGTCGAGTCAATTCCAACTCACAGCAACCTCATGTGACAGAGTAGAACTTCCCCATAGGGTTTCCTACGCTGTAATCTTTACGGGAGCAGATCTCCAGGTCTTTTATCCCACAGAGCAGCTGGTGGGTTCGAACTGCCAACCTTTCAGTTAGTAGCTGAATGCTTAGCTCCTTAAATACCCACTTATAGGATATAAATATAAAAACTGTAATATTAACTCACTGGAATATTACACAACAGTGAAAACGTATGTGCTACAACTACAAGCAAAAAAAGATGACTCTTAGAAACATAATATTCAGTGAACTAAGAAAATCATGAAAGACTAATATACAATATGAAGCCATTTTTACAAAATCAAAAAGAAGCAAAACCAAACAATGTCTTGTTTAGGAAAATATACATATATGTAACTATTTCTTTAAGAATATGGAAAGAACTGTCAAATACAAAATTTATGGTATTGGCTACCTCTTGGTGAAAAGCAGAGAAATGAAATAAAGACTGCGAGCACAGGTCATACAAAAGTACTGAACAAACTTTAGCTCTTAAATCTGGTAGTGATTCATGGCTGCCCATTTTAGTGTTTTGCTTTATAATTTTATTGTAAATTATACAGGTTACATATATATTGTTTTGTATGGATCAAATATTATATAATAAAACACTTTAATTAAATACATCAAACTTTGTACAAAACCTGATATTTGGTATCCAGCAAATAAATACCAATTCTTATTATTCTGTAAAATTCAAAGAAGCAGATTCAAATAGTAACAACTGTAATTAAGACAACCAATCAAAATTATTAAAATTTAAAACAAGAGGAAAACAATCTTAAAAAATTTATTTTAAATAATTCAGTAAGCAATGATATAAGCTAAATTTAATTTACAAAATAACTTACCTAATGTGTCACATTTCTCTCTGGCTCCACAAATGTCTTCCCTTAAAACAAAAGGTTTATTTTGAAGCATTTTTAGAAAATATTTTTGTAATATGTCAAACAATGATTTAAAAAAAGCTTTAACTATGACATGACTATTATCACAAACCAGCTTCAAAACTGCAGTTCTTATTAAACTCTCAATAAGGTTAAGTTAGAATAATGCACCATTTGTGTACATCAATAAGCAATAAGTGTTAGATAGAAGTCATTGTTGTAAATAGTTGAAATATACATCAAGTTTAATAAAAAGCTTTCTGAGTGTATTGTGCATTTCTCTACTATTCATTACACAATATATGTAATATAAGTACTCTTTTTCTTAATGATTCAATGTTATTATAAACAACCTATTATTCTCTCTGAAAAATGATGTTCTCAGACTTTACCAAGTTCTTCATTTCTTTTTTTTTTTTTTGCTTCTGCATTGATTAGCCCCTGACCATTCAATTGCACAGATCTCTTCTTTTTCCTTGTGGTCTCCTCTTATGGCCCTTTTCTCTCCCATCTTTAACCTGTTATAGTCAATCTTTGCTGCTTGGACTCTAACTACAACCCAAGGCAAAACTAAAGATGGATGGTACAGTATTATCTATAAAAGTAAGTCAACTCTGCTTTAGTTTGGAAAAGAGACAAAGTACATGAACCACATGTTAGCTATTTTACATGGGCTAAAGGCTTTCATTTCAGGGTTCTGGAAACCTGAGATTTCTCTGAGTCTGACCTCTAAATGAAAGATGCATTTACTTTGGTCAAGCAAAAAGTAAATAAATAAGTAACAAACTAGAATCTAAATATTGTGGTAGCATCAGTGTTGCTGATACAAAGGTTTGAATTAACAATGTATAGTCGTGCTTGTAAAATGGATGTTTATTTTATAATAGCAGAATCTGTTTTCACATAAACAATTAGGGTTGAGAACAATCCTCGAAAAAGCAGCCTGGAAATTAAGACATGCACTGAGCATCAAAACAAGGAACAGATAGTTTAAGTAGTAGAGGGAATCCAAAAACATGAGCAACCAAAGAAAAAGGCTTTTCTTCCCAAGCCATTGGAAGATAAAGCGGAGAATGAACAAAATTCGCTCTCGGTTCCATAACCATGTTCCTTTCCAGGTATTATTCCTGATTCTCTCATTCTGTCACTAATATGATAAAAAGAAAAAAGATTATTTTGCTTAGGTCAATTCATTGCCTTGCAACCTGACGTTGCTGATTTCCTAAGGAACCGACTAGTAATCTGCTCTGAAAGAACAGAAGAATGTTTTCACACAATAGTTTATCTTGTAATAAAAGTACTCATAGAGTATTTCCATGTATTATCGATAGTTAAGGTAACAAGAAGTATCAGTGGCTATATAGGAGAGAAAAGGTAAATAACTGCAGTTGGAAGGATAATTTCTACAACTATACCTAGTGATGAGAACAGCAGTATCATGGTGGGAAGGGTGGGCATCATCAATCACGTTCTGAGTTTGTTGCCATAAACAAAAGTTGCGTAAAGTGGTAGCTGCATTAAAACTGATGACTGGTCCTTCCTACACAAAAAATAAGCAATTCGATATTATGTCAAAACACTCACAGCCTCTTTTCCTCCAAGTTTAACAACATCAGTAGAATTTATCAAGCAGCATATTCATAGACAAAGAAGTGACATATCTCTCCTTCATATATTTACTATCCAAACATATTTTAGCAATACCTAAAACATTATGATCAAAACTGAACTCTAATTAGATCTTCTCTATGTAACCACCCAATATTTAGGATTAACAGACTTTTAAAAATTGTCATAGTTTAAATCCTTCAATATTAGGATTATAAAATACTTGCATGTTTTTAATCTTAAGTTATTAATTTTTCTTACTTCCTGTGCTCAGTTAAACTCTTTATTGTCGTCCATTTATACTTACTTCCATTTATTTCCAGTGTAATAGAAAAAGGTTAATTTTCTCCTTTTCAAATCAAGTTTTCTAAAGTAAATTTTAAAAATGTCTTTTTCTAATAAGAGTTTTGTGATCTAAACATATTCCCACTAATTTTAGACCTATTTCTTACCTGCTCATTGTGGATTACAACTAATTTTACAATTACTATATTTATAAGATTTCCAATACTTGAGTCCTTATAGATTGCTGCAACCTGCAAGGGAAATAATATAGGATTACATGCCTAAAATGAATATTTCTTTTCAAACGTTCACTGAAATCAGTCCTAAAGCATCAATTCTCCAACTTAGCTGCACACTGGAATCTGCTGAGTAATTTTTTAAAATCCTAAATGCTCAGGCCACTTCCCTTACAAATTAAATCAGAAACCCTGGAGTCAGAACACAGGCATCAGTATTTTTTAAAATACTCAAGTATTTTTTGTTTCCAATGTAAAGTGAAGTGTGAGAATGAGTATCCTGGATCTTACTACTCAAAGACTTGTCCATGGACCAGCAGCATCCATATCACCTGGATCTGGTTAAGCAATGCAGAATCTCAGGCCCCACCTGGACTTAGTGAATCAGAATCTGCATTTTAACAAGGTCCCCAAGATTTGAATGTACATTAGTGTACACATGAAGTTTACATTTTGCTACAGAGACCAGTAGCAGAGCCTCCACTTCATCAGCCAATGCCGCCTCAACACAAAGTCTAACATGATCGTGGCCAATGCTTTTTGTGCCAGAGAACCACCAGAACCAGAGCCAAAGGCATCTCTGAAGCTACTGACACTGCAGGGTCAGCATGGACATAAATACAAATTCCAGCACTTTACTGCTGTTTTAGCTGCAGAGCCACAGATACTTACATGTTTGTCATCTCTACCTGCAGTGATGCCTTTTGCTCTGCTGGTAGCATGTTTTGACAAAAGTGATAGTAGACCCAGTGGGGTTGATGGTAACTTCAGTTAAGACAGGGACAGTCAGATGATTGACAATTTCAAGTAGGTCTGTTAGCACTGCAATATCGTCCACTTCAAAGTGGGAACTATGGAAATTTATAGTTCAATTTATAAATATTCTTTTTACATGCAGTTTTTTAAAAATGTCTACTTTAGAAAACAAAGTATACTCATATTTGTGACTTCAGAGTTACCTTTTGATCCTATGAGTTTAAAAGTAGATGTTTTCTAAGTCAATTTACAAGGTAGAGCAAATAATGCATCACCAATGTATGGGCAAAGGCTCTTTTCCCCCTAAAAATGGAAAACACTTCTGAACACTTCTGTGGAGGAGAACATGCACTCCCAATACTCCAAGAAAAAAGAGCTTAAACATTATGAAGTGTCTAAATGGCTAATTACCATACTCATATCCCAAAGATATTGACTATGCAATGACAACCTGGGTGTTATTAGCTATAAAATATACAACCACAAACACTCAAAACCAAAAAAAATATTTAGAGCTTCAGAAGGAAACAGATGTAACAGCTTTATTGGAAAGTGATCTCTAGCTGGAATTTGGAAACATGTTACCAGTGTTTTGAAAGTATATTTTAAAATATATTATTCCACCAAATTGAATCCACAATCAACACCATGGAAGTAGCAGTCAAGAAATCAAAAGACGCATTGCATTGGGCAAATCTGCTGCAAAAGACCTCTTTAAAGTTTTGAAAAGCAAAGACGTCACCTTGAAGACTAAGGTGTGCCTGACCCAAGCCATGGTGTTTTCAATCACTTCATATGCTCGTGAAAGCTGGATGATGAAATGACACCTTTGAATTGTGGTGCTGGAGAGGAATATTGAATATATCATGGACTGCCAAAAAAATGAACAAATCTGTCTCAGAAGAACTACAACCAGAATGCTCCTTAGAAGCAAGGATGACAAGACTATGTCTCACATACTTTGGACATGTTATCAGGAGGGATCAGTCCCTGGAGAAGGACATCATGCCTGGTAAAGTAGAGGGCCAGTGAAAAAGAGGAAGACCCTCAACAAGATGGAGTGACACAGTGGCTGCAACAATGGGTTCAAGCATAATGACTGTAAGGATGGCACAGGACCAGGCAGTGTTTCATTCTATTGTACGTAGGGTTGCTATGAGTCAGAACCAACTTGACGGTACCTAACAACAATAACATTCCACCAAAGTTTCCTTAAAAGGTAATTTTAGGGAAAAGGTAGTTAAAATAATTGTTATGTAAGATGGGAGGTGGTGGCAGGGCCAAGATGGCGGAATAGTCGAATGCTTCCTGTGATCCCTCTTACAACAAAGACCCGAAAAAACAAGTGAATCAATTATATATGACAATCTAGGAGCCCTGAACATCATAGACAAAGTTGAGGAATTGGACTCAGCGGCAGGGAGAGGGAGAGATGTTTCAGAAGCAGTGAGGCGTTGCCAGACCTGACCTGGCCAGCATTGGCACCCTGCAGGCTGGATCAGCTAGCACACAATGGTGTGAGGCAAGCAGTGGTGCTTGGGATGCGTTTTCCACATCAAAAGAGACTAAGCGGCGGAGAGTCTGCTCAAGCCTCCGGAATCAGTGAGAAATGGTACTCAATCAGTGAAAGATAAGCACAAGCATCTAACCTATTGCACAGATAAAAAAAAAAAATTAAAAAAAACTTCTGGGAAGTACCTCTCTCCCATTTACCTGCCCCCTTCCTGCTCTGCTCCAGGTCTGCTCCAGCCTCAGCAACTGCTGCACCCCCTGGGCCAGAAGTAGGGCCCATCAAGCACCCTGAGCCATTCTCCCAGCTTTGGAGAGGGAACAAATTAACAAACAGGAAAAAAATAATTTGCCAGCTCCCCTAAGCCAGGAACTCAGGGCAGGCACAGCTCCTTTGCCTACGCACAGGCATAAGGGGTCCACAGGCTTTGAATGCCTTTCACCCCTGCATAGACCTGTATGGGCCCATTGCAACAGCGTAGGCCCTCATTAGCACACTACAACAGGGTATGTACCTGAAGCCTATTTTCAACTGTATCAGCTATAAGGTGGAGTGGCAGATTCGTGACATATGACACCATCCTGCACATTAAGCAGGATCCTTACCTACCCACATCAGAGGCCTAAGGACTGGTGGCTCCACCCATACCACCTAGCCATATGCAATAGAGGTCCAAGAATAAGTGGTGACTTCTAGTTCTTAGAGCCGATAGCATTGGGTGCCCATAGTCTGGATGCAAAACCACCTACCCATGTGCTCTAGGGAACAGGGACGCGCCTTCCATCCAGACACTCAGGAGCAGCCGTCAGCCCCCTGCCTTGATGAGCTCACAACTCCCTAGTGCAACCAGGTATCTGTGCCTACTCCAATCACTCTGTCCATCTAGAACTGTAGATGAAAGCCTGTACCATACTCTCGGTAACTGAGGACCTGGACACCTGAGCTGAAACCAGGTCCTCAGTCTGGATTCAGAAAAGTAAATGGACTCCTGGGCTCACATACCTAGTAACAGCTCTAGCCACCTGGAGGCAGGACGTGAGAGCTTCAAAGATGTCAATAATCAAACTAGCTCACATGACCAGCCTATTTGGGCATATCAAAACAAAATAAAACAAGAAGCTAGGACACAGTAAGCAAACATAAAATAAATAAATATAATAACTTATTGATGACTCGGAGACAACAGTCAATATCAAATCACATAAAGAGGCAGATCATGATGGCTTTAGCAAGCCACCAAAACAAAGAATCAAGAAATATTCCGGAGGAAGAGAACTTATTGGAATTACTGGAGGTAGAACTCAAAAGACTAATATACAGAACTCTTTAAGAAATCAGGAAGGAGATCAGGCAAAACACAGAACATGCCAAGGAACATACAGACAAAGCAACAAAGGAACTTAAGAAGGTTATACAAGAGCATAATGACACATTTAACAAGCTGCAAGAATTCATAGAGAGACAGGAAACAGAAATCCAAAAGATTAACAGTAAAATTTCAGAATTAGACAACTCAACAGAAAGTCATAGGAGCAGAATTGAGGCAATGGAAGTCAGAATTATTGAGACTGAAGATAAAGCACTTGACACCAACTTATTTGAGAAAGATGGGAAGTGGTTACAGTGAAACCTGTGACAGCTGGAACTCAACAGGACTGCCTTGTTTTTTTGTGTCTCACAAGTTTTCTGCCTTTGACATGGTGCAGTCTTACCACTTTTCTATTGCTAGTTTTAGTGGAAAATATTTGAGCTTTCCTTCTGACAGGTTTCTGCCTTACACAAGTTCTAGTTTTCACAAGTTTTACTGTATAAAGCATAGACCTTTAAATTAAACAGACCCAGGTTCAAATTCTAACTTCCATTTGTTGATAACAATACCTACTTATCTGGTTCCTCAGGAGCCCTGGTGGCATCGTGACTAAAGCGTTTGGCTGCCAATTGAAGGGTCGGCGACTGGAAACTACCAGCCACTCTGCAGGAGAAAGATATGGCCATCTGCTTCCATAAAGATTATACCCTTGGATACCCTATGGGGCAGTTCTACTCTGTCCTACAGGGTTGCTATGAGTCAGAATTGACTTGATGGCAATGGGTCTTTTTAATCTGTCTCCTATAGGGATTAAACAGTGTACAGAAAGCATTTAGAACAGAGCCTAGGTCATAGAGATCAATCATACCCCTTGCCTTTGAGTGGATTCTGACTCACAGTGACCCTATAGGACAGAGTAGAACTGCCCCATAGGGTTTCCAAGGCTATAAATCTTTATGGAAGCAGATGGCCACATCTTTCTCCCACGGAGTGGCTGGTACATTGGAACCATCAAACGCGGTTAGCAGCTAAGCACTTAACCACTGTGCCACCAATGATCCTTAAATCAATCATAGCAGCTATTATTATTTTGTTATATTATTATTACAGCTTATAAAACTTTTTCAGAAGAAAAGGCATATGTTACATATAATTCCTGTTCCACTATATGTGCTTCAAATTATTCATCATGGTAAGCTCAAATTGAAAGCAAAGGATCCAAGAGCATCACTGTTTCATTTTTTCTTTCAATATTTATTGAATATTTACTACCTATGAGACACTGTGTTCCTTACTAGATATACAGAGATGAATAAACTACCCTCATAAAACTCAGTCTCCTGGGGTTAAAAGACACAAAAACAGAGGGTTCAATTTAAATAATTCTACCCCCTCCAAAAAAGAACAAACAACTCAGGTTGATACTTTGTTTTTATAATA